GGTTGTGGGTGTGTGTGTGTGTGTGTGTGTGTGTGTGTGTGTGTGTGTGTATGTGTGTGTGCGTGCCGCAGGGCAGCTCCGTCACCTGACGTGTCCTCAGTTCTCCTGTTTCCTCTGTAAGCGAGAGAGAGAGAAATCACGGCAGTGCTGTAGAGCACAACTGCTGTTCAGTTTTCTCTCTTTCATTCTCTCTTCCCCTCTGCACAGATACTGTTTCCTCACGCTTTACAGCCAGTGCAGATAATTTACACGTAATGCTAGCCGTTCGCTGTACACGTATTGTTTGGCGAAAGAAAGCGGGCCAGTAAACCGGATGCGTTCTGGGAGGAACTGGAAGCCTCTTCTAAGGGTATAATGGGTTCTTGAAGTTCACAGGAGCTTTTTAGCGTGACGTTCGAGTGTGTTTGTGGATGTTAGATTTATCTGTGATGAATAAGCTGCTGTGGTTGATCTTAAGTACTTCAGCGCAATCATGAGCCGCTGTAATGTTTTAAGAGCGGAGGAGATGGAACATAAACCATGTGTTTCTTCAGAGGTTCGAGAAAAAGTCCAGTTCAGCGAGAGAAGTTTTCTTTAACTTATTTTTGTGAAATGAGTCGAGGTGCGTGGGTATAGTATGACCAAAATCTTCATTTTTATGATAATGGTATCATGATCTAGTTATTTTTGGATGAAGTTCAACCCAAACATGTTTTGCACATTACATAACCATGTGCTAATGACTATTTTTGACTTGATTTTATGACTTCATTTCAATTTCAAAATTACAATTTAAATTTAAAAATATTTAAAAATGTTATAATTTTTAAAAACATTTTTAGTTATAAATGTTTATTTATTTTTAAATAAAATACATTTTTTTTATTTATTTAACATGATGAACCATAAGATCAGATGATTCTTAACAAATAAATAGTAAGTCTGTCAGTGTAAAAACTATGAAAACTTGTTTTTGCCATGGAATTAAAAAAACAAGAAAAAGAAAAAAAACAAGAAAAGTAACAGTAACTTTCTATCTCACAATTTAGACATTGTTTCATGCAATTCTGTCTTTTTTTCCTCACATTTCTGAGTTCTGAGCGTTTATATCTCACAACCGTGAGAAAAAGTCAGAATTGTGAGATAAACGGCTTCAGAATACTTTAAAACAAAAGACTCAGTTTAGTGATTCTCACAACGTATAACCAATAAGATAGACATATTTGAAGCTGTTGTAAAGAGTCAATGTGCTTATATTATTATTCTATATAATTAAGTTGCAATGTTATTTGGAAACTGTAAATAACCTTTAGAGCGTCATGCTGTGATGTGTTGAAAATCACTAAATCGCTCCCATTATAATCAAGAAATCTGTCGACACAATAAGCACTAAACGTCTATTCTGGCCTAATTAGGCCCCAAAACGAGTTTAAAGGAATCATATTCTACACTTTAAATGACTCTCACGCTCAGCCGAGGAGAAACAAAAGTGCTGAGTGTCATGACAACCGCTGCTGATGCAGGATCTATCTATCGTTCTATCTATCATTAGTTAGTTCTATTATTCGTTCTATCATTCATTCTATCGTTCTATCTATCATTAGTTCTATCATTTGTTCTATCATTCATTTTATTCTCTGTCGTTCTATTCCTCTATCATTCTATCGTCTATCATTCATTCTGTCATTACTTCTCTCGTTCATTCTATCATGCATTCTGTTGCTCTATCGTTAGTTCTATCGTTCATTCTGTAATTAGTTCTATCATTCATTCTAGCGTTAATTTTATCGCTTTTATCTATCTATCTATCTATCTATCTATCTGTTAGTTCTATCGCTCGTTCTATCATTAGTTCTGTCTTTTGTTATTGTTTGTTCCATCTGTCTATCATTCTATCTTCTATCATTAATTTTATCTAGCATTCCATCGGTCTGTCTCTGTCTATCTATTGTTCATTCTGTCATTCTGTCACTCTTATCTTTCTGTCACTCCCTCATTCTATCTGTTGTTATCTATCTATTGTTAGTCCTATCGTTCGTTATATTACTCTATTTTTATCTGCTGTTCTGTCTATCTATCGCTCTCTCTATCATTAGTTCTATCGTTTGTTCTATCTATCTGTCTATCGTTTTATCTGAACGTCTGTCTATCTGAATATCTATCTATCTATGAGAGACAGAGTTCTCGATGCTCTTCTGGCTGTTTTTGTGTCTGTCTCCATGTATAATTGAGCTTTGCTGTCACGTCCAGAGCTGCACCCGCCCCGTTCTCATCAAAGAGAGAGGAATGCACTCATGTATTCCTCCGTCTCTCTCTCTCTCTCTCTCTCTCTCTCTCTCTCTCTCTCTCTCTCTGTGTGTCACGTCTCGCTGTACCAGCACCGTATCAGTCATGACACGGACAAACACACTCCTGTTCTCATAAACACATACTTACAGCATCACAAACACTTTGTGACAATTATAAAGGTGAGTGTATGCGCGCCCTGAGCGTCCCACAGGCCTCGGCCGAGTGTGTGAGCAGCATTCATGTACCTCCACACACACACACACACACACACACACAGAGAGAGAGAGAGAGAGAGAGTCATTATGATGTTTCATTCACTCTCCTTTCTTCTCTTTCTCTCATACTTAATGCAGACATCTCAGATGAGATGGTTCTATTTGCACAAGACTTCAGTCTTCAAGAAGACAATATTTCATATTGTTTTTAACTTTCAGTAAGAGAGAACTGTTGGAAATAATTATTTCTATTTATTTGAACTGATTTGTCTCTTTAGTTTTCACAATTTTCATTGTCCACTTTGCAGTCAGTACAGTTGTTTGTCTTACCTGTAAAGCGGGGGGGGGGAGGGCAGAAGAGCATGTGTGGAACCAGCAGGCCTGCACATGCTCTGAACCACAGACTAAAATTCCCCTCTTTACAGTAACACACACACACACTGTCACACTACTACAGTCTGGATGTGAATTCCTGAACATGTACATACACCATTTGAGTGACTCATCACCTCCAGTATCCCATCATGCACTGGGGTGAACCCACCTGCAGATGATAAAGAAATGGTTGTTCTCTCGCTGTGGAGTGTGTGTGTGTGTGTGTTTTCTCACAACTTCAGGAAAGGAGCAAAAAAGACACAGTCTTTGTTCTCACTGCACAAGAAATTATCATTTGTTTTTCAGATCGGATCATTAGGTCTATAATAAGGTCTAGGCCTGTTGTTTATTCAGCCATTCATTCATTCAGTCAGTCATTCGTTCTATCCATCTGTTTATGTCATTTTTTTTATCTGTCTGTCATTCTGTCGCTGTTGTTCTATCTGTTTGTTTCTTCTGTCTACCTTTTGTTTGTTAATTTCTTCTGTC